CTCCTCTTCCAGGGAGGAGAATTCCATGGGCCTTGAGGATGAGGAGGGATGGAGCTGCACATCCCAGCGTGGGGCATCCCCTGCTCCGTGTCCCCTCGTGTCCCCTCGTGTCCCCTCCCCGTGGCCCTGCTGGCTCAGCAGGCTGAGCTCCGGCTCCATCCCAACCCCCGGGAAGCTTTGGGGATGAGGAGCCGCTCCCATCCCATGGTTTGTTGTGGGTTGTTCCGTGCTGGAGCCGTTAAATGGGAATTGTGGTGCCAGGACGGAGCTTCGGGATTTCAGGGTTCTCATCCCGGTGATTTTCCCTCTTTTTTGGGAAACTCCCCCAGAGCTGTGCCTAAGCCACCAGACCCTTTGAGAGATCCGTAATGTTCGTTTTTCCAGTGGGGTTTTTTCCAGGGAAGGGTTTGGGGCTGCCCCGCGGCCCCGCAGCTCGGGTGACACTTTTGGGATTGTCCCAGCGCGGTGCCGCAGCTTCCTCTAGTGGCCGTGGGGAAACGCTTCCAGAGGAGATCCGGGCTGGATTGGGAAGTGAGGAAGGAATTCCTCGAATTCCTTCAAGGAATTCTTCTTCCTTCCTAAGGAGACATCAAATCCGTGTTCTCTCATCCCTTCTGTTCTGTGATTTGGGGTCGGTTTTCCCCTGGTTTTCTCCGGGTTGGGAATGTTCCCCCAGTCTGTTGTGTGCTGATGGAACCCTGTGAAGGTGGATTTTATGGATTTTCCTTTGGCTCTGACACCTTCTGCTGGGCTTTCCCCACGGAAAGGTGCTGCTGGCTGGGATGGGAAACGGGACTGGGACACCCTGTAATCCCTCCAGCCGTGGAATATCCTCAGCAGAATCCTCACCTTGGTGCATCCAGAAATCTGCCTTTGGCTTTCAGGGTTTCCTGGGCTCTGTGCATCCAGAAAAACCCTCCCAAACCCTCCCAAGCCTGCTCTGGAGTCTGTCCCTGAAGCTGAGGGGACACTGAGCTCTCCTCCTCCCTGTCCCAAGCTCAGTGGTTCAGCTTTTGGCAACTGGAAAACTGAGGAAGGAGCTGCTTCAGTGAAATGTTTGCTGAGACTTTGGCTCTCACAAAGGGTTTAGGCTCCAAAATGGGGTGGATTTGGGTGGTGCTGAGCCCTGGGGGTGGGAGCTGGGCTGGAGGTTCCAGTGCCTGGCTGGGGACTGGCTCTGTGTGACCCACTGGGGACGGACCTGGCCTTGCTGGGCTCCTTGCTCCACCTGGAATTGCAATTTTGGGGTGTCTCGTGAGCAGAGGGAAAGTCACTGCCTTGACCTTTGAAAGTGGTTCTTGTTTGAGTCAGAATTAATCCATCAGATTTCTCCCCCTGGTGTTTCCTCCCTGCTGAATGCACAGACAGATCTGCCCCTGTTCCCCTTCCCAAGGAGGGATGGGATGGGATGGGATGGGATGGGATGGGATGGGATGGGATGGGATGGGATGGGATGGGATGGGATGGGAGCAGAGCTTCCCACCGACAGGAGCAGAGCTTCTCCCAGCTCTCCACTGTCTCATCTGGGTTTTTTTTTCCTCTTCTAACCCATTTCAGGTGCCTGCTTTTCCTCGGGGAAGGAGGCTGAATCCCTGCGAGCTCTGCCTGCCTTAGAGCGGGGAAAGGGGAGGTGCTGAAGGTTAAAGGATCTTTATTTCTGCAATTTGTTTGTTATTTCTGAGGAATTCTTGTTTTTCTTACCTCAGCTGTGCTGTTTGCTGGCAGAAAATCCAAACCAGGGGTGGCATTTCCAGCTCCCTGTTTTCTCATTGTCTCTCTGTGCTCAGCCCCCTCAAGTGGAGGATCATTAATGAATGATTGTTAATGAACCCATTTCCTAATTCCAGGCCCTGGGAAGGCTGCCCTCAGTCTTTCTGGGAATTCTGTCTTTTCCCCAGACTTGGCTGGTCCGGAACTGCTGCTCTCAGGCAGCAGAACAGGTTTGGGTTCCTGTTGCTGGAGGTGAATTCATTAGTGAGAGCCTGGCAGCTTTGAAGTTGGCAATTACAGGCCAGGGGATGGAAAGGGCTCCTTGCAAAGACGGGATCTAATTTGTTTTCCTTCCCTGGGTGAATGGGATTTTTCCAGCTGAAAGGCCCAGATGCTTCAGTGTCACCTCCAGCTCCTCCTGGCATTGTCACCTGTGCTGGTGCCTCGGCCAGGGAACATTTCTGGTGTGGCAGAGAAGCAAAAGTGCTCTGAGCCAGGGGCTGGAATTGTTCCTGTGCGTGATTCCCAGGGAAATCCAGGCAGTGCCTCTCTGAAGGACAGCGCTGTGAGCTGAGGAGAGCTCCTGCTTTGCCCTGAAGGGTGGAGCTGGACAGAATAAAAGGAAAGGGGTGCTTGTCCCTGCTGGTGACCCAAGGGGAGACTTTTCAAGACAGTTCCCGGTGCTGCTTCCCCTCTGGCAGTTTGAAGCCATTTCCTTCATCCTGTCTCTCCATCCCCTGGTCCAAAATCCCTCTCCAGCTCCCTTAGGGCCCCTTTGGGTTTTGATCAGAAGTGGCTGATCCTCACCTGCTTTGGGAATGTAAATGCCTGACCTGGAGCCCAACCATGTATTTCCAGTTTATTTACCCATCTTTTGCTCACAGGAAAAAGAGGAATCTTTATTTTGATGTGCAGGAAGCTGTTCCTGTGTTCTGCGACCTCTGTTTTGGAAACAAAACACTAAAGCAGCTCGTGAAGGATCCGAGTGCCTGTGTGGGTTCGTAAACACAGCTGCTCCGGGGGCAGAGAGTCCCAGCCTGGGTTGGGTTGGAAGAGACTTAAAAATCATCTCATTCCACCCCTGCCATGGGCAGGGACACCTCCCACTATCCCAGATTGCTCCAAGCCCTTCCAGCCTGGCCTGGGACAATTCCAGGGATCCAGGGGCAGCCGTAGGGAAAATTCCTTCCTAATACCCAACCTAAATTTCCTCTCTTTCAGCCTGAACCCATTCCCCCTTGTTCCTGGTGAGCAGCCCCTCCCCAGCTCCGTGCAGCCCCTCCAGGTCCTGGAAGGTCTCCACAGAACCTGCCCTGCTCCATCTTCCAGGGGCTCCCCTCGAGTGCTGGGCCACAGAATCCCGGGAAAGGCGTGGGGAGATGGAATTCCCTGAGCTGGAGCTGGGCCACCAAGCCAGCACAGGAGAGGAACTGAAAGCAAAGCAGAGGGAATGGCCAGAGCCTGGCCCCAGGGAGATCCTGGGGGTGTGATCCCCATTCTGTGAGGGATCCCCCCATCTCTGCTGCTGGAAACCCTAAATCCGTAATTCCTGCTGGAACAACGCCCTCAGGTGCCTTTCCCAAGAGCTCTCTTGCCTGGATTTGGGATGCAAGCAGTCTGGAAAATATCTGGGTAACAGCGCATTTGCCAGAAAATATTTTGGTTATTTCAAAAAAGCTTTGGTTTGTTTGCTAGAAGATATTTAGATGGTGACCAAACCCATTTTGGTCCTTTTTCCAAAGAGTATTTGGGTTATATTCAGAATGTTTTGGTTGGTTTGGGTGCTTTTGGCAATTTGGGAAGTGTGTGCTTCTGGTTTTTTGTTTTCATGGGGAAAAGAAAAAAGCAAGCAAGGAATTTTCAGAGTTTCTGGGAGGATGTGGAGGGTGGGTTAAACCCTGAGAGTGGGTGGCACCTTCCTGGGGGTCACAGCACCTGGGTGTGGGGTGGAGAGGGAATTGTGTGCTCCACAAAACAAACCAATGAATGGGAAAATTGGGTGATTTCTGTCCAAACAGTGAAAACAGGAGCAGGCAGGACATGGAAACGAGCTCAGGTCCTGGAGTGAAGGTCTGGGGTGGTGATGAAGGCAGGGCTGCTCTGGGGACCACCTCGGAGCAAAGCTGAGAAGGAACCTGGGGAACATCCTGGAAAAACGAGAGAAGGAACTTGGAGAGAGGAGAAACCTGGGGACCATCCTGGAGGAAACAAGAGAAGGAACTGGTGACCATGCTAGAAAAATGGAGAGGAGGAACTGGGGAACATGCTGGAGGGAATGAGAGAAGGAACTGGGGACCATCGTGGAAAAATGGAGAGGAGGAACTGGAGAACATCCTGGAGGGAACAAGAGAAAGAACCTGGGGACCATCCTGGAGAAAATGAGAGGAGGAACTGGAGAACATCCTGGAGGAAATGAGAGGAAGAACCTGGGACCATCCTGGAGGAAATAAGAGAAGGAACCTGAGGATCACCTGAGGGAATGAGAGAGGAAACCTGGGGACCATCCTGGAGGAAATAAGAGAGGAAACCTGGGGACCACCTTGGAGAGAATAAAACAAAGAACCTGGTGACCGTCCCAGAAAAAAGCAAGAGAAAGAACCTGGGGACCATCCTGGAGGAAATGAGAGAAGGAACTTGGGGACCACCCTGAAAAAACGAGAGAAGGAACCTGGAGAGAGGAGGAACCTGAGGACCACCCTGGAGGGAATGAGAGAAGGAAACTGGGGAGCATCCTGGAAAAATGGAGAGGAGGAACCCGCGGCCATCCTGGAGGAAACCCCCGGAGGAGCCTGATGGGCTCCATCCCCTCGCCTCCCGCCCTCTCTGTGCAGCGGCGGAAGGAGCGCAGACCAAAGCCTTTCCCTCCCTGGCCAGGAGCCGCCAGTCCCTTTGTCCTGGGCCGGGTTTGGCGAGCACCTGCCGCGATTTTGGCGAGCGCAGCCCGGGCCCGGCGCGGTGACGTCGGGTCCCCCTTGGGCGATAAGCCGCGGTCCTTATCGCCCCGCCGGGCTTTGATGTGGCCCCCGGGGGCGCCGATGCCGCAGGATGCCCGCGGGCCGGGGCACAAAGCGGCCCTTGAGCCGCCCGCAGGTGCGCTGGCCAGCGGGGCGCTGCCCCGGGATAAAAGCGGGAGCTGCCCCGGGATAACAGCGGGAGCTGCCCCGGGATAAAAGCGGGAGCTGCTCCGGGATAAAGGCGGGAGCTGCTCCGGGATAAAAGCGGGAGCTGCTCCGGGATAAAGGCGGGAGCCGTGCCCGGCTGCCGCCGCCGCCCCAGGGCTGCGAGGCACCATGAAGTGGCTCCCGGTGGTCCTGGCGTGTCTGCAGCTGGCGGAGGGGGCGGTCAGGTGGGTGACAGGGAGGAGGAGGAGGGATAGCGGGGATGGGGAGGTGCTGGGAATGCGGGGTCTGCACGGGGGGCACAGCCCGGGGCAGCGGCTGGGCAGGGAGAGAGCCTGGAATGGAGAGAGCCTGGAATGGAGAGAGCCTGGGAATGGAGAGAGCCTGGAATGGAAATGGAGAGAGCCTGGCATGGAGAGAGTCTGGGAATGGAGAGAGCCTGGAATGGAGAGAGTCTGGGAATGGAGAGAGTCTGGGCACGGAGAGCAGATCCTGGGGCATGGAGATATCCTGGGATGTGGAGAGGAGATCCAGGGCATTGAGAGATCCTGGAACCTGGGGAGCAGCTCCTGGGACATGGAGAGCAGCTCCTGGGATGTGAAGAGCAGTTCCTGGGGCATGGAGAACTCCTGGGGCATGGAGAGCTCCTGTCGTGTCTCAGAGGAGCCCAGAGAGCCGAGCCTTTGAAAACACTGAAATCTCCTTCTCCCCTGCTGTGCTGTGCTGTGTTTCGCCCCTGCCCGTGCAGGATCAGCCTGAAGAAAGGCCTGTCCATCCGGGACAAGATGAGGGCGGCCGGGGTGCTGGACGATTTCCTGAAGCACATCAAATCCGACCCGGTGAAGAAATACCAGCCCAGCCAGGGCTTCGTGGTGAAGGAGCCCATAGCCAACCACCTGGATGTGAGTGTCCCCCTGTCCCCTGCCTGTGCTTCCTCCTTCCCCCTGCCACAGAGCCTGGGCACCCCGAGCCTCCGGGAGTGAGAAACTGCTTTTTCCCCACTTTTAAACTGCTTTTTCCCCACTTTTAAACTGCTTTTCCCCCACTCTTAAACTGCTTTTCCCCCGCTCTTAAATTGTTTTTTCCCCACTCTTAAACTGCTTTCCCCCCACTTTTAAACTGCTTTCCCCCCACTCTTAAATTGCTTTCCCCCCACCCTTAAATTGTTTTTCCTTCACTCTTAAATTGCTTTTTTTACCCACCATTAAATTGCTTTTTTCCCCACCCTTAAATTGTTTTTTCCCCCACCCTTAAATTATTTTCCCCCTATCCTTAAATTGCTTTCCCCCATCCTTAAATTGTTCTCTCCCCACTCTTAAATTGCTTTTCCCCCCACCTTTAAATTGCTTTTTTCCCCACTCTTTTAACTTCTGTTTTCAACCTCAAAGCAGTTTACCCCCAGCCACAAAGGGCCAGGCTTTTCTGTATGAAACAAACCCACAACAATTATTCAATATTTCATTTTTGGGGAGCAGTAGAGGCAGGATGAGAGCTCAGCCTGGCTGGGGGATGCCAGCGGGGGGACCCTGAGCCCGTGGCCAGTGAAAATTCCCTGTTTTTTTTCCAGTCCTCCTACTTTGGGGAGATCAGCATCGGGGAGCCCCCGCAGAAGTTCCTGGTGCTCTTTGACACTGGCTCCTCCAACCTGTGGGTGCCCTCCACGGACTGCAAGAGCCCTGCTTGCTGTGAGTAGAGCCATTCCTGCTCCTAGGAGTGATTAGTGCTCACTAATTAGCACCAATTACCCCCGCTCGGTGCCTTTCAGAGCCCCCCGGGATGGGTTTGGGTGCCCCAAGCCACGTCCTTGTCCCTGTTCTTCCACGTCCTTCCCCTGTCATGCTGGGGACATCACGATGCCAGACCAAAAAATGAGCCTGGGTGTTGATCTGGGGGGGCTGGTGCCTTCCCTGGGGAGCTCAGAGCCCTCAGACCCCCACGGGAATCCCAGGGGAGCTCCCTGATCATCCCAGGAATCTTCTGGGTGCTCCCTGATCATCCCAGGAATCTCAGGGGTGCTTCCTGATAATCCCAGAAATCTCAGGGGTGCTTCCTGATAATCCCAGAAATCTCAGGGTGCTCCCTGGCCAGCAGTGAAATCCCACTGCAGAACTGGCTCTGCTCTTTGGGAATTATCCCAAGGGAGCATCCAGCACTGAAATCCCAGTGCAAAACAGGACCTGATCCTTGGGAATTATCCCAGTGGAGCACCCAGCAGTGAAATCCCACTGCAGAACTGGACCTGATTCCTGGGGATTATCCCAAGGGAGCAGCCAGCAGTGAAATCCCAGTGCAGAACAGGACCTGATCCCTGGGAATTACCCCAGGGGAGCATCCAGCACTGAAATCCCAGTGCAGAACAGGACCTGATCCTTGGGAATTATCCCAGTGGAGCACCCAGCAGTGAAATCCCAGCGCAGCACAGGACCTGATCCTTGGGAATTACCCCAGGGGAGCATCCAGCACTGAAATCCCAGTGCAGAACAGGGCCTGATCCTTGGGAATTACCCCAGGGGAGCATCCAGCACTGAAATCCCAGTGCAGAACAGGGCCTGATCCTTGGGAATTACCCCAGTGGAGCACCCAGCAGTGAAATCCCAGTGCAGCCCGTGCCCAGGCTTTTCCCTCTTCTCCCTCCCCAGTGAACCACGCCAAGTTCAAGGCCAGTGCCTCGGCCACCTTCAGCCCCAGTGGCCAGTCCCTCACCGTGTCCTACGGCAGCGGCTCCGTCACCATCCTGCTGGGCTCCGACACGCTCAGGGTGAGTGCCCCGTGCCAGCCTGCCCTCCTGCCTGTGTGCCCGCCAGGAGCAGCCTCAGGGCTTGGACAAACCCTGGCACATGGACGTGAAGTGTTCACTGCCACCCTCGTTCCTCCAGCTGCCCTTTGGCCGGGTTTTAACCCAAATCCAGTTTTTTTCCCCCCAATTTCCCCCCGTGCCTTGTGCTGTTGGCACCCAAGTGGCCTCAGCCTGGCTGCCCTGGCATGCCCTTCCCCTGCAGATCCAGAGCATCACCGTGACGGGGCAGGAGCTGGGGCTGAGCCAGGAGGAGCCCACGCAGCCGTTCTACTTCGCCGACTTCGACGGCATCCTGGGCATGGCCTTCCCCTCGCTGGCCGTGGGGGGCACGGCCACGGCCCTGGCGGGCATGCTGCAGCAGGGCCAGCTGGCCCAGCCCCTCTTCAGCTTCTACTTCTCACGGTGACAGCCCCTCAGGGCGCTCTGAGTGCCCTGGTGTGCCCTGCCCTCGTGTGTCCCTCACACCCTCGTGTCACTCACGTCCTGGTGTGCCCTGCCTGCATGTCATGGTGTCCCCTGTCCTCACGTCCTGGTGTCCACTGTCTGCACATCCTGATGTCCCCTTCCCTAACATTGTGGTGTCCCTTGCCCTCACGTCCTGGTGTCCCCTATCTCCAAATCCTGGTGTCCCCTGCCTGCACATCCTGATGTCCCCTGTGCTCACATCCCTGTGTCCCCTATCTGCATGTCCTGATGTCCCCTGCCCCCAGGTCCTGGTGTCCCCTATTTGCACATCCTGGTGTCCCCTGTCCTCAGGTCCTGGTGTCCCCTGTTTGCATATCCTGGTGTCCCCTGTCCTCACATCCTGGTGTTCCCTGCCTCCACATCCTGGTGTTCCCTGCCCCACATCCCTGTGTCCCCTATCTGCATGTCCTGTTGTCCCCTGCCTGTCCCCCCGAGGCTTCCCTGGGGATTTATCCCCCTCCATCTCCCGTTCACACCTGATCCCTGCTGCTGTGGCTCTGTCTCCTCGCAGCCAGCCCAGCTATGAGTACGGGGGCGAGCTCATCCTCGGGGGCATCGACCCCGGGCTCTTCCAGGGGGACATCACCTGGGCGCCGGTGACACAGAAGCTTTACTGGCAGGTGGCACTTGAGGAGTGAGTGCTGTTTGTACCCCCTGCTCCAGCCTCGGTGCTTTAGGGGCCCGGAGCCACGTCCTTGTCCCCGTTGTCCCCCCAGGGTTGCCATCGGGCAGTCAGTGACCAGCTGGTGCAGCCAGGGCTGCCAGGCCATCGTGGACACGGGGACATTCCTGCTGACCGTGCCCCAGGAGTACATCGAGAGCATCCTGGAGGCGCTGGGAGCCCAGGAGACCAGCTACGGGGTGAGTGTGGGGTTTTGGGGGGAATCAGAGCCCTGGGCTCGACCAGGTCCCACAAAAATCACGTGGCACTGCAGGGAAAGGGACTGCGGGGTGACAGGGGCACGAGGGGACATCAGGCTGAGCAAGGTGGGGATGCTCAGCCTGGAGAGGAGAACATTGTGTGCAAACCCCACAGCCCGTTCCAGGGCCTGAGGGGGCTACGGGGAAACCAGAGAGGGACGTGGGACAAGGGCCTGGAGTGACAGGACCAGGGGGGATGGCTTCGGACTGAAAGGGAGGAAATTTAGGGTTGATACAGAGAGAAGGAAATTTAGGGTTGATGCAGCGAAGGAGGAAATTTAGGGTTGATACAGAGAGAAGGAAATTTAGGGTTGATGCAGGGAAGGAGGAAATTTAGGGTTGATAGAGAGGAAATTTAGAGTTGCTGCAGAGGAAATTTAGGGTTGATACAGAGGAAATGTAGGGTTGATACAGAGAGAAGGAAATTTAGGGTTGATGCAGGGAAGGATGAAATTTAGGGTTGATACAGGGAAGGAGGAAATTTAGGGTTGATGCAGGGAAGGATGAAATTTAGGGTTGATACAGGGAAGGAGGAAATTTAGGGTTGATGCAGGGAAGGATGAAATTTAGGGTTGCTGCAGAGGAAATGTAGGGTTGATACAGAGAGAAGGAAATCTAGGGTTGATGCAGGGAAGGAATTCCTCCCTGTGCGGTGGGGAGGGGCTGGGATGGATTTCCCAGAGCAGCTGTGGCTGCCCCATCCCTGGCAGCGTCCCAGGCCAGGCTGGGGCACGCTGGCACAGTGGGAGGTGTCCCTGCCGTGGCAGGGGTGGCACTGGGTGGGCTTTAAACTCCCTCCCACCCAAACCATCCCGTGATTCCGCGCTGTGGCACAGCTGGGGCACAGCGCGTGCCCCCCGTGTCCCCTCCGTGCCATCACCCCGTGTCTGTGTCCCCCAGTACGCCGTGGACTGCAGCGACACCCCGAGCATGCCCCCCATCACCTTCGGCATCGGCGGCGCCCGCCTGGCGCTGCCCCCGGCCGCCTACGTCCTGAACGTACGTGTGGGATTGGTCCGGGGTTCCTGAGGGACCACCGGGAACTGGGAACATCCCGAAGGTTCCTCAGGGACCACCGGGAACCGGGAACATCCCCAGGGACCACCGGGAACTGGGAACATCCTGAGGGATCACTGGGTATAGGGAACATCCCCAGGGATCACCAGGAACAGGGAACATACCCAGGGATCACTGGGAACCAGGAAAATCCCAAGGGATCACCGGGAACATCCCAGGGACCACCGGGAACTGGGAACATCCCCAGGGACCACCGGGAACCAGGAACATCCCCAGGGACCACCGGGAACCGGGAACATCCCGAGGGTTCCTCAGGGATCACCGGGTACTGGGAACATCCCCAGGGACCACGGGGTACCGGGAACATCCCAAGAATTCCCAAGAGTTCCCCAGGCACTGGGAACATCCCAAGAGTTCCCCAGGCACTGGGAACATCCCAAGAATTCCTGAGAGTTCCTCAAGCACTGGGAACATCCCAGGGCACCAGGAACATCCAGAGAGTTCCTGGGAATTCCTGAGGCACTGGGAACATCCTGAGAGTTCCCGGGGCACTGGGAACATCCCAAGAGTTTCAGAGAATTCCCGAGGCACCGGGAACATCCTGAGAGTTCCCGAGGCACTGGGAACATCCTGAGAGTTCCTGAGGCACTGGGAACATCCCAAGAGTTTCAGAGAATTCCCGAGGCACCGGGAACATCCTGAGAGTTCCTGAGAGTTCCCGGGGCACCGGGAACATCTCAAGAGTTCCCGAGGCACCAGGAACATCCCGAGTGTTCCCGAAGCACTGGGAACATCCCAAGAATTCCTGAGAATTCCCGAGGCACTGGGAATATCCCAAGAATTCCCGAGGCACTGGGAACATCCCAAGAATTCCCAAGAGTTCCCAAGGCACCGGGAACATCCCGAGTGTTCCCGAGGCACCGGGAACATCCCGAGCATTCCCAGCACCGGGGAGAGCCCGCGGCTCCGTGGCCGGCAGCGCTGCTCTCCCTGCGCTGCTGGAGGTGCTGAGCCCCCGTTGTTCCCCCCCAGAGCAATGGCTACTGCACCCTGGCCATCGAGGTCACCTACCTGCCCTCGCAGGACGGGCAGCCCCTCTGGATCCTGGGAAACGTCTTCCTGAAGGAATATTACACCGCCTTCGACATGGCCAACAACCGCGTGGGCTTCGCCCTGTCGGCCTAGAGGGGGCAAATCCCTGTGCCACGCAGTGCCATGGCGTTCCCAGGGACATTTCTGCTCCTTGCCGTCCCCTTCCCTCGGGATCTGTGTGTGTGTGTGTGCGCCCGCGGATTTATCCCGGAATAATAAATAAATAATGAATAAACCCTGCCATCCCAGATGAAATAAATGGGCAGGAGATCTTTCTCCTTTTTAATGCCTTTATTAAGAAGAATCAGCTCAGGTGGGGAAAAATCGACACGGAGGAGGAGGAGGGTGATGCAAACGGTCTCCGAGCTCCGGGGTTTGAGGGGTTCCGTGGCTCACAATTCCTTGCTCCAGCAAGGAAAGTGCTGGGATGAGCTCCAGGCCCTGGGATAAAGCAGTGCCCACCTCCAGCCCTCGGGAAACCTCCGAGGGGAAGCCCCTGAGCTGGAAAAGCTTTGCCAAAGCCCTGTGGTTATCCAAGTGGAAATCTGAGGCTGTGAGGCGAGCCACGACACCCAAACGACCCCTGAGCCCCGAAATGGAGCTGCTCAGCCTAGAAAATTGCACTGGAATATCGGGAATTGGGGGAGATGTGGCCCAAGGGCATGGGGAACACCCGGGCAGGGGAAGGTGGGGTGGCCCCGCTCTTTCCCAGAGTTTCTGAGAAGTTCTTTATCACCAGAGCTGAGCCACGACACCCAAATGACCCCTGAGCCCCAAAATGGAGCTGCTCAGCCTGGAAAAACTGCACTGGAATATCGGGAATTGGGGGAGGTGTGGCCCAAGGGGATGGGGAACACCCGGGCAGGGGGAGGTGGGGTGGCCCCGCTCTTTCCCAGCATCCAGAGTTGATTTTTAGCAGCTCTTTATCACCGGAGCTGCTCCGTTCAGGGCTCTGTCACCTCCCGGGGGAAGGACACAAAGTGCTCCGAGCTTTGAGTCAAAATATTGACACAGGCTGAGCTGAGATTAGGCAGGGACAGCAGGGAAGGACATTCCCCATCCTCCTCCTCCTCTTCCTCCTCCCCATCCTCCTCCTCTTCCCCCTGGAGTGGGAATTCTCTGCTGGAAGCAGGGCGGTGGTGGCAGGAGGGGACAGCAAAGGCTGCCCACGTCCCTGCCGCTCTCTGCTGTCCCCTTTGCTGTCCCTGCAGGGCCTGCCCAGGCCACGGCAGAGCCAGCAGGAGCCTTGTGGGGATTTCCCGAGCTTCTGAGGATTCCCAGCATCGTTCCACGGCCAAAAGCTTGGCTCTGGCAGCAGGTCTGCGGGCACCTGGAACGCTCCTGCCCATTCCCAGAACAGCGGCAGCAGGAATTGCCACTTGCTGGAAGGGGTGTGTGGCTGTGCCTTTGTTTTCCCGAAAGCTGGAGCTGGGGCTCAAGAAAAAATCCTTTAACTGGGCGATAACGACGGCGTTTGGCTTTTTATTGGCTTTTTATCGCAGTCCCGTGTTTGGTCTGGGGGTCAGAGGCGCTGAGCGGGGTCGGGAGGGTGAAAGGAATTTCCTTCCCATGGATTTTTCCTTTCCATGGAAATAATTTTCCATGGATTTCCTTCCTGGGGCATGGAAATCCATGATCCCCAGTGGTCCCAGTCCATAGGGAAGTAGGATCCTGGTTTAAGGAGCTCCATGATCCCCCTGTCATCCCAGTCCAAAAGGGTGTAGGATCCTGGTCCAAAGGGATTTAGGATCGTGGTGCAAGGAGCTCCACGATCCCCCTGTGTTCCTGAAGGAAAGGGAAGCAGGATCCTGGTGCAAGGAGCTCCATGGTCCCCCTGTGGTCCCAGTCCAAAGGGATATAGGATCCTGGTGCTAAGGGATGCAGGATCCTGGTTTAAGGAGCTCCATGATCCCCCTGTCATCCCAGTCCAAAAGGGTGTAGGATCCTGGTCCAAAGGGATTTAGGATCGTGGTGCAAGGAGCTCCACGATCCCCCTGTGTTCCTGAAGAAAAGGGAAGCAGGATCCTGGTGCAAGGATCTCCATGATCCCCCTGTCATCCCAGTCCAAAGGGATGTAGGATCGTGGTCCAAAGGGAAGCAGGATCCTGGCCAAGGAGCTCCACATCCCCATGTGTTCCTAAAGGAAAGGGATGCAGGATCCTGGTCAAAGGAGATCCATGATCCCTCCATGGTCCCAGCCCAAAGGGATGCAGGATCGTGGTCCAAAGGGAAGCAGGATCCTAGTCTAAGGAGATCCATGAGCCCCCTGTGGTCCCAGCCCAAAGGGATGCAGGATCGTGGTCCAAAGGGAAGCAGGATCCTGGTGCAAGGAGCTCCATGATCCCCCTGTGGTCCCAGTCCAAAGGGAAGCAGGATCCTAGTCTAAGGAGATCCATCAGCCCCCTGTGGTCCCAGCCCAAAGGGCTGCAGGATCCTGGTGCAAGGAGCTCCACATCCCCGTGTTCCTGACAGAGAGGGCTGCACCATCCCGGCTCCCGGGACTGCACCTCCCTCCCCATCCCTCCCCTCCCGACACGTTTTGGGGTGGAAACACCCACTTTAGAGGAGAGAAAAAAAAAAAAAAACCAAACATTTTTGGGGAGGACGCCCTCCCCCTTCCAGGGAAGGAAAGCGCCGAGCCCGAACGCCCGCCGCGGCCGGGCGGGGACTACAAGTCCCGGCAGGCGCGGACTGCAGCTCCCGGCGTGCCCGGGGCCGGCGGAGCGCAGCGAGGGCAGCGGAACGGGCCGGGCCGCGCCGGGCCGGGCGGGCGCTGCTGCTGCCCTCCCTCGGCACGGGGCCGAGCCGGGCCGAGCCGAGCCCAGCCGGGCCGGGCTGCGCTGAGCAGAGCGGAGGAGCCCAGCAGAACCGAGCCGAACCGAGCCGGGACGAGTGGGGCCGAACTGAGCCGAGGAGCCGAATCGAGCGCAGCCGAACCGAGCCGAGTGGGGCCGAATTGAGCTGAGCAGAGCCGAGGAGCCGAGCTAAAAAAAAAAACAACACAAACATTTTTGGGGAGGACGCCCTCCCCCTTCCAGGGAAGGAAAGCGCCGAGCCCGAACGCCCGCCGCGGCCGGGCGGGGACTACAAGTCCCGGCAGGCGCGGACTGCAGCTCCCGGCGTGCCCGGGGCCGGCGGAGCGCAGCGAGGGCAGCGGAACGGGCCGGGCCGCGCCGGGCCGGGCGGGCGCTGCTGCTGCCCTCCCTCGGCACGGGGCCGAGCCGGGCCGAGCCGAGCCCAGCCGGGCCGGGCTGCGCTGAGCAGAGCGGAGGAGCCCAGCAGAACCGAGCCGAACCGAGCCGGGACGAGTGGGGCCGAACTGAGCCGAGGAGCCGAATCGAGCGCAGCCGAACCGAGCCGAGTGGGGCCGAATTGAGCTGAGCAGAGCCGAGGAGCCGAGCTGAGCCGGGCCGAGCGCGGCCGAGTGAGCCCGAACAGACCCGAACCGACCCGAGCGCAGCCGAACGGGGTTGAAACGAGCCGAGGGGTCGAACCGAGCCTGGCCGAGTGCGCCCGAACAGATCCGAGAGCAGCTGAACGGAGCCGAGGGGCCGAACCGAGCCGGGCCGAGCGCACCCGAGCGGGGCCGAGCAGACCCGAACCACTTCGTGTCCTCGCCGTTCCTCAGGGGTGAGTGCGGGGCCGGGGGTCCCGGGGGTCCCCGGGCAGGGGGGTGTTGGGGTGCTCCCCCCTGTCCTGCGCCATCCCGGGGCGCTTTGAACTCAGAGTTGATTTTTCCCTTATTTTCCTGTAAATAATTGCCCCTCCAGCGCGGTTGCTGCGGGGTTTTGGGGTCTCCAGCAGCTCGTCCCGGTGCCCTCTCCCAAAAACCGGCGGTCTCGGGGGCTGTGAGACCCCCGGCAGCTCGGGGGGACCTGCCCGGGTCGCCTTTCCCATCGGGAACCCCCCCGAACGCGGTGGGGAAACTGAGGCACGGAGGCTCCGGGACACCCGCGGGGTTCCCGGCACCCCCCGGACTGGGGGGCGCAAAGCGGGGACCCCCCTTGGGGTGCGGAAAGGTGGGAAAATTGGGACACCTCGTGTCACACGGCTTGTAGGGGGGCCACCAAGGGGACACACAGCGTGTCCCCCCCTCCCGGGGAATTTGGGGGGGAACAGAGGGGGCTGCCCCGCAGCGATTAATTACATTCACGAATTAATTACGAAGCAGGAAAGCATTACGCAGCCCCCAGAGCTGCGGGCAGTCAGATGATGGGGGAAATTTCCTTAAAAAAAAAAAAAAAGAGCCCGGCGTTCTCCGAGGGATGCTGGGTTTGGTTCCTGAGGGGTTCTGGGCTTGTTTCCTGAGGGATCCTGGGTTTGTTTCCTGAGGGATTCTGGGTTCTTTTCCTGAGGGGTTCTGGGTTTGTTTCCTGAGGGATTCTCGGTTCGTTTCCTGAGGGATTCTGGATTTGTTTCCTGAGGAATTCTGGGTTTGCTTCTCGAGGGATTCTGGGTTTGCTTCCCAAGGAATGCCAGCCCTGTGTGTTCTGTGTTTTCCGAGGAATTCTGGGTTCATTTCCTGAAGGATTCTGGGTTTGTTTCCTGAAGGATTCTGGGTTTATTTCCTGAAGGATTTTGGGTTTGTTTCCTGAGGAATTCTGGGTTCATTTCCTGAGGGGGTCTGGGTTTGCTTCTCGAGGGATTCTGGGTTTGCTTCTCGAGGAATGCCAGCCCTGTGTGTTCTGTGTTTTCCGAGGGATTCTGGGTTTTTTTCCTGAGGAATGCCAGCTCTGTGTGTTTTGTGTTTTCTGAGGGATGCTGGGTTAATTTCCTGAAGGATTCTGGGTTTGTTTCCTGCGGGATTCTGGATTTGTTTCCTGAGAAATTCTGGGTTTGTTTCCTGAGGGGTTCTGGGTTTGCTTCTCGAAGGAATGCCAGCCCCTCGTGTTTTGTGTTTTCCCAGGGATGCTGGGTTCATTTCCTGAAGGATTCTGGGTTTGTTTCCTGAAGAATTCTGGGTTTGCTTCCTGAGGAATGCCAGCCCTGCATGTTTTGTGTTTTCCGAGGGATTCTGGGTTTGCCTCCCGAGGGATGCCGGCCCCTCATGTTTTGTGTTTTCCAAGGGATCTGCCCGCCCTTATCAGTAGGAAACTGCAGACTGTGCCGGGGTGGAGCTGCTGCACGGGGCCATCCAGCATCCGGGTGTTTGGGATGGGGTTTGTTTCCTGAAGGATTCTGGGTTTGTTTCCTGAGGAATGCCAGCTCTGTGTGTTTTGTGTTTTCTGAGGGATGCTGGGTTAATTTCCTGAAGGATTCTGGGTTTGTTTCCTGCGGGATTCTGGATTTGTTTCCTGAGAAATTCTGGGTTTGTTTCCTGAGGGGTTCTGGGTTTGCTTCCCAAGGGATTCTGGGTTTGCTTCTCGAAGGATGCCAGCTCCTCATGTTTTATGTTTCTGAGGAATTCTGGGTTCGTCTCCTGAGGAATTCTGGGTTTGTTTCCTGAGGAATTCTGGGTTCATTTCCTGAGGAATTCTGGCTTTGTTTCCTGAGGGGTTCTGGGTTTGCTTCTCGAAGGAATGCCAGCCCCTCGTGTTTTGTGTTTTCCCAGGGATGCTGGGTTCATTTCCTGAGGAATTCTGGGTTTGCTTCCCGAGGAATGCCAGCCCTGTGTGTTCTGTGTTTTCTGAGGAATTCTGGGTTTGTTTCCTGAGGAATTCTGGGTTTGCTTCCCGAGGAATGCCAGCCCTGCATGTTTTGTGTTTTCCGAGGGATTCTGGGTTTGTTTCCTGAGGGATTCTGGGTTTGTTTCCTGAGGAATTCTGGGTTTGCTTCCCGAGGAATGCCAGCCCTGCATGTTTTGTGTTTTCCGAGGGATTCTGGGTTTGCCTCCCGAGGGATGCCGGCCCCTCATGTTTTGTGTTTTCCAAGGGATCTGCCCGCCCTTATCAGTAGGAAACTGCAGACTGTGCCGGGGTGGAGCTGCTGCACGGGGCCATCCAGCATCCGGGTGTTTGGGATGGAGCTGTGAGCCCAGCCAGGGATTTTATTGCTTTTTCCACGCTTCACAGCGCCCACGTGTGTGCTCCTGGTCCCCCTGCCCTGCCCTGTTTTCCTGGAAGTGCTGTGGGAAATGGGAAAGAGCCCCTTGGGATGTTGTGGGGGGTCACCAGAGCAGGGGGGACGTTCCCAGGGCTGAGGGTGGGGTGGCCTGAGCAGCACAAAAACCAGGGAAATGGGGCTGGGGAGGCCACGCTGGGGGTGTCCCCCTCCAAAAATCCACAGTGCTGAGGGTAAAAACATCCTCATGTGGTGGAGTGGGGTCTGCAGCGATGGGGTTTGATGATTCTCCCTCCTTTCCCTGGGGTGCTGATGGCAGGGATGGAGCTGGCACACCCCTGTCCCCTCTGTGGGGACAAAACCTCCCATGTGGAGTTTTTGGGGTGGTCTTAGAGGGCACCTCCAGCTGGACTCTGCTCAAGGGAGCTGTTTTGTCAGTGCCCTGTGCGGGGATGTCCCCTATCCCAGACAAAGGGGAAGTTTTGGGGCCAGCAGCAGTGGCCTGGGGGCTGGCAGTGCCACCACACGTCCCTGTGGCAGCGTGTGACAACTTCCCAGACCCCTGTTTGCTGTGAGGGACCCCAGGAGGATTCCAGGAGGATCCCAGGAGGATTCCAGGAGGATCCCAGAGGATCCCAGGCTTTTTTGTTTCACAACCCCATAAAAGAGCAGGGGGTGCTCGGAGGTGCCAGGCGTGCTGTCACCTCCCTGTGGTGGCCTTCCCGTGGTGGCACCACCTCCAGGAGCTTTTCCAAGCTCTGTGGAGGCAGCTGGGGTCACGCTGGTGACTCCGTGCCCGTTGTCACCAGCTCTGTGACACTTGGGGGGATCAAAGGGGGGATTTCTCCCTGACCACACCGGGATTTTGTGCTCATCTTTTTTTCCTCTCGCTGTCACATCCGGGAGGAGCCCCCACGGCTCTTCCCTCATCCCTTGGAGATCCCTGTCCCTCCTCCTGGCGCCTGGCTCGTGCTTGGAGCAGGTTTTCCCTGCGGATTTGCCCAGGAATTCCCAGGAATGGGGAGTGCCGTGCTCGGGGATGAGCTCTGGGTGCTGCTCCTCACCTTCCCGGGAGGCTGAGGAAACCAGGAATGGGGGATTCTCCATCCCTGGGGGCGCAGGGGCAGTTCTGGGGGGGTTTTGGGGAGGGCTGAGCTGCAGGAGCGTTGGGATGGGCACCTGGGGTGATTTGCAGCGGGTGCAGGGTGGGCTCACCTCACCCTGGGGAGGGTTCAAGCTGTCCCCAATGTCCCTACAGGTTGTGCCAGCTTCTCTTCAAAGCCAGGAATTGCCCCCGGGGTTTTGTCACCTTTCCTCGGAGCGCTTTTGGCTCCAAAGGAACTCCCCACACACCCTGAGCTCTGCCGGGCTCCCCTCCTTTGCTTAAAGGGGTGTAAATTCCGGATAAACCTGAAATTCCCAGTCTGGGGACGGCCAGGGGGGTTCTTGGAGCCTCAGGGAGCGGCGAGGGCAGCAGCGCTGGCTCCTGCCCAGCCTGTGTGCCCTCGGGATTATTTTGGGGGGGTGGGAACATTTTGGAGGACACGAGGAGGGGGCTGCACCCACCTGCCACACACATTTCCCTGCTGCCAGGTGAGCTGGCTGCCAGCAGCTTCGAGCATTTTGGAGAAACTGAGAAGGAGAAATCCCAGCTGGGTGTGTGAAAAAAAAAAAACAACCAAAAAACAAAAAATCAACTCCGAGCTCCTGCACGGGTCCAACCGGAGCGACGTGCCCGGGAGAGGCGGCACCGTGCCAGGCCAGGGGCTGGGCTGGCACCAGGGGCTCCCGAGGGAGCAGTTTGACCTTCAGGGAGCAGGAAAAGCTCCGGGCTGAGCCTGGCAGAGAGGAGGGCACAGCACAAACCCCTCCGGAGCAGGGTGAGCTGGGCACGGGGAGGCGATGCCAGGGGGGCACATGGGCAGAGCCCCTGCACGGGGCTGGTTTGGGAGGGCAAGGCAGGGGCTGTGCCCAAATTTGTTTATTCCTGGGGGCTGGTTACACCAGCTCTGCCTGCACCGAGCCTCCGGGCTGGCTGCTGGGGGCTGGACACGGCGTATTTATAAATATTACCTCCTTTACAGCAGCATGGGGCTCCCAGGGAGGGAGGAGGGATGGAGGCGGCGCTGGGAGAGCCTCTGGCACTGGCAGGGGACAGCGGGTGGCCGCTGCCACCTTGGGCTGGTGGCACCCTGAGCTTGGGGCGCCTGCAGCTCCAGGGCTCTGTCGAGCGTCGCCGCTTTTGGGGAGGTTTCCCCACTTGTTGGGAAGATTTCTCTTCACTTTGTGGGGTGGTTTATCCTCACTTTATGGGAAGATTTCTCCCCACTTTCTGGGTGGTTTTCCCTGCTTTTTAGGATGATTTCTCCCCGCTTTCTGGGGTGGTTTCTCCCCACTTTGTGAGATGATTTCTCCCCACTTTGTGAGATGATTTCTCCCCACTTTGTGAGATGATTTCTCCCCACTTTGTGGGATGGTTTCTCACCACTTTTTAGGATGATTTCTCCCCGCTTTCTGGGGTGGTTTCTCCCCACTTTGTGGGATGATTTCTCCCCACTTTGTGGGATGGTTTCTCACCACTTTTTAGGATAATTTCTCCCCCCTTTCTAGGGTGGTTTGTCTTCCTTTTTTGGGATGATTTCTCCCCACTTTCTGGGATGAATTCTCCCCACTTTCCAGGGTGATTTCTGCCATTTCTGGGTTAATTTCTCCCCACTTTCTGGGGTGATTTCTCCCCACTTTCTGGGGTGGTTTCTCCCCACTTTGTGGGAAGATTTCTCTGCACTTTGTGGGGTGGTTTATCCTCACTTTGTGGGAAGATTTCTCCGCACTTTTAAGGACGATTTCTCCCCACTTTCTTGGGTGGTTTCTCTCCATTTTTTAGGATGATTTCTCCCCCCTTCCTGGGATGATTTCTGTCCCCTTTCTGGGATGATTTCTCCCCACTTTTTAGGATTATTTCTCCCCCCTTTCTGGGATGATTTCTCCCCCCTTTCTGGGGTGATTTCTCCCCACTTTTTAGGATGATTTCTCCCCCCTTTTTAGGATGATTTCTCCCCCCTTTTTAGGATTATTTCTCCCCCCTTTCTGGGATGATTTCTCCCCCCTTTCTGGGGTGATTTCTCCCCACTTTTTAGGATGATTTCTCCCCCCTTTTTAGGATGATTTCTCCCCCCTTTTTAGGATGATTTCTCCTCCCTTTCTGGGATGATTTCTCCCCCCTTTCTGGGGTGATTTCTCCCCACTTTTTAGGATGATTTCTCCCCTTCCTTGGCTGGTTTCTCCCCTTTGCGGGGTGGTTCCCAGGATTTGGGCGGCAGTGCTGTCCCAGCCCCTGCAGGGCCCGGGGTGTGCAGTGCTGCCGGTTCCCCTGATCTCTCATTTATGCGGTTATTTCAAAAGGCCGACACCCAAATCGCCCGGAGTGACCCCGGGCCGGGCTTTTCCTCCGGGGCTCCTTTCCCGGGATCTGCAGCCTGTCCCTGTCCCTTCCAAGGTCACCTCGGTCCCCTCCTCTGTCCTGATTAATCACCGTCCCGGGGTGGTGGCTCAGCCCATCCTCCTGCCTGTTCACACTTTTATTTTTGATTGCTGCCCTGGAGGGGGCAGGGGCTGTGAATTCCCAGCCCGGTCAGTCGGACAGTGATGTTTCCATCAGGGCTCTGCAGCTCCTGCCCAGCTTTTGGAGGGTCTGGCCCCTCCTTGAGGGGGTCCTGGGGGTCCCCCTGCAGCCAAAACTCACCAGGAGCTGCCAACCTCCTCCTGCTCTGCCCAGCTTGTCAGCTATCCCTGGGCTCTGTGGGTTTTTTGGGGGTCCCCCTGCACCCAAAACTCACCAGGAGCTGCCAACCTCCTCCTGCTGTGCTCAGCTTGTCAGCTATCTCTGAGCTCTGTGGGTTTTTTGGGGGTCCCCCTGCCTCTCTCTGCACCCAAAACTCACTAGGAGCTGCCAACCTCCCCCTGCCATGCCCAGCTGGGTGATGCTCAGCAGCCATCCCTGGGCTCACATTTGGGCAGCTATCCCTGGGCTCTGTGGGATTTTTGGGGGTCCTGGGGGTCTCCCTGCACCCAAAACTCACCAGGAGTTCCCAGCCTCCCCCTGCCATGCCCAGCTGGGTGATGCTCAGCAGCCATCCCTGGGCTCTGTGTGGGTTTTTTGGGGGTAAAAGAGAGGATTTTTGGAATGGAGAGACACCAGAGCAAGGCTGTGTCTGTATTATTAACCCCTTGATGGCTGCCAAGCCCAGCTGGGCTCTGTTTCCCACCCCTTGGCACCACCAAGGGGGTTTTTTATGTTAATTCAGTGACACAAAGCACACACAGCAGCAGGGCCTGATGCTTCTCCCTCCACCACTTCCCTGGCCCCTCCAGGCGTGCCAGGCTTACCTGGCTGTTTGGGGCCAGCCCTGTTAATGTCTTTTTCCACGTGGGATCCCTCAGCCCTTTCCAGGCTCGGTGTTTAGCGCGGGGCAGGGAAAACATTTGGCCTCTGACCCAGCGCCTGTTAACAACGTCCCGCTCCACGTTGCTGGCATGCCGGGGCTAAAAACAGCCCTGGTGACTCAGCCCCTGGCTGCTGCTGTCAACTGACCCCAGAGTGGCTCTGCCAAGCCCCTCCTTTGCCTGCTCCTGCTGCCTCACAGGGCTGCGAGCTCGGAGTGTGGGGAGGGAGCCTCTGGATGGGCTGGGATGGCTCCCAGGGGTCACAGGAATCCTGGTCCAGGGTGGAAGGAGGCTCTGGATGGGGTGGGATGGCTCCCAGGGGTCCCAGAACCCTGCCCCAAACAGCTCTTGGGTGGAAGGAGCCTCTGGATGGGCTGGGATGGCTCCCAGAGGTCACAGGAATCTTGCTTCTGGGTGGAAAGAGCCCCTGGATGGGCTGGAATGGTTCTCAGGGATCCCAGGAATTCTTGTCTTGGGTGGAAGGAAGCTCTCGATGGGGCTGGAATTGTTCTCAGGGGTCACAGGAGCCCTGCTCCTGGGTGGAAGGAGCTTCTGGATGGGCTGGGATGGCTCCCAGGGGTCCTAGGAATCCTGGTCCAGGGTGGAAAGAGCATCTGGATGGGCTAGGATGGTTCCCAGGGGTCACAGGAATCCTGCTCTTGGGTGGAAGGAAGCTCTTGATGGGGCTGGAATTGTTCCAAGGGGTCCCAGGAACCCTGCTCTTGTGTGGAAGGAGTCTCTGGATGGGGTGGGATTGTTCTCAGGGATCCCAGAACCCTGCCCCAAAGAGCTCTTGGAAGGAAGGAGCCTCTGGATGGGGTGGGATGGCTCACAGGGGTCACAGGAATCCTGCTCCTGGATGGAAGGAGCCTCTGGATAGGGATGAGATGGTTCCCAGGGGTCACAGGAACCCTGCCCCACACAGCTCCTGGGTGGAAAGAGCCTCTGGATGGGCTGGGATGGTTCTCAGGGATCCCAGGAATCCTGCTCCTGGGTGGAAGGAAACTCTCGATGGGGCTGGGATTGTTCCCAGGGGTCCCAGGAATCCCCTGTGCCCGGTGGCATCAGTTTTTCCACGCTTTTTCTCAGCCCTGCTGCTCGCTGCTGTGCTGCAGTGACAGAAAACAGACGGCTCTGGAGGAGGGGTTTTTGCAACTTCCCCCCTGCACCCCACGTGGCTGCTGGAAATGAGGAACACGGGGCTGGCCCGGGCGGGGGGAGCTGTGACCTGCTGGCACTGCCACCTGCGGGGTCCCCAGGCCCCTCAGTGACCTGCTGGCACTGCCACCTGCAGAGTCCCCAAACCCCTCGGTGACCTGCAGAGTCCCCAGTCCACTCTGTGACCTGCTGGCACTGCCACCTGCAGGGTCCCCAATCCCCTCAGTGACCTGCAGGGTCCCCAAACCCCTCTGTGACCTGCTGGCACTGCCACCTGCAGGGTCCCCAGTCCACTCTGTGACCTGCTGGCCCTGGCACTGGCAGGGTCCCCAATCCCCTCAGTGACCTGCTGGCCCTGGCACTGGCAGGGTCCCCAAGCCCCTCAGTGACCTGCAGGGTCCCCAAGCCCCTCTGTTCTGCACCCAGTAACCCCAGCCTCATTGTCCCCTGTCACAGCAGGGTGACAGCAGAGTCCCCAGGCTGGGGCACACACGGCGTGGATTTGTGGCTGTGTGATGAGGTGACAGCTTGGTGACGTCAGAGCAAGCCCTGGGCTCGGGGCTCCCCGGGCTGGGGTCGCTGGTGCTCCCTCCCTGCCACCCCCGGGTCCCTCCCTGCCACCCCCGGGTCCCTCCCTGCCACCCCCGGGTTTGAAAATGAAAAACGAGGAAGGAAGGAAGGAAGGGAGGAAGGGAAGGCTGGGCCGGCCCGTGGCGAGCCCCAGAGCTGTTTTCACTTCTTTCTTCTCCTTTTCCCTCTCGCTGCCCCTCAGTTCCCAGCCCAGCTGGGGGGTGGGCCCTGCCCTGTCCCCCCCGCTGTCCCCAGGGTCCCCCCTCCCTCCCTCCCTCCCGGAGCTGCTGATTGATTTTTCCACTCGTAAATCGACCGGGAAATGCAGCACAGGGGGGGCTGCTGCAGTGGCTTTGGGGGTGCTCCTGGCTCCCAGTCCTCACAGGGCTGGCAGGAGGTGTGTGGCACCCTCGGGGGTGGCCGTGCCTGGCACCCGGTGCCACCTCCCCTGCCAGGGTAAGGTTAAATCTGGAAAATGCCCGCGGGCAGCTCGGGTTCCTCAGGCACACCTGAGCCTGGGGACGCTGCTGTGGCCCTTCAGGTGGCACTGGGTGGCCCCTGCCAGCTCGGGCAGTGGCTCTGTCACCAGCCTGGGGACACTGCCGTGGCCCTTCAGGTGGCACTGGGTGGCCCCTGCCAGCTCGGGCAGTGGCTCTGTCACCAGCCTGGGGACACTGCCGTGGCCCTTCAGGTGGCACTGGGTGGCCCCTGCCAGCTCGGGCAGTGGCTCTGTCACCAGCCTGGCCCCCAGCACTGTCCCTGCAGCATGTCCCAGTGGCCACTCCCATGTCACCAGCGGCTGTCACCGCGGGGTGAGGGACAGCTCGGGGCTCTGGGGGGCTCAGGGAGGGCTGGGGCAGCTCTGGGGGTGCTCCAGCTGGAGCCACCCCGAGGGCCATTGGGGGGTCGGGTTCTTGCTGATGTGACACCCCTGGAGGGAGAGCGAGGAAGGGCCAGAAATAACCAAAAATAACAAGATATAACCAGAAATAAATAACCAGAAATAACCAGAATCAACCAGATACAACCAGAAATGAATACCCGGAAATAAATAATCAGAAACAACCAGATACAACCAGAAATAACCAGAAATAAATAACCAGAAATAACCAGAAATAATCTGAAATAAATAACCAGAAATAACCAAAAGAAATAATCCGAAATAAATAACCAGAAATAACCAACGAAACAAAATAATCAGAAATAAATAATCAGAAATAACCAGAAATAACCAGAAACAACCAGAAATAATCCGAAATAAATAACCAGAAATAACCAGAAATAATCTGAAATAAATAACCAGAAATAACCAGAAACAACCAGAAATAATCCGAAATAAATAACCAGAAATAACCAAAACCAACCAGATACAACCAGAAATAAATAACCAGAAATAACCAGAAATGATCAGAAATAACCAGAAATAAATAACCAGAAATAACCAAGCTGCTGGGCAGCAGCAGGGACGTTTGGAAGGGAGATGCATTCCCTGGCTCCTGTGCTCCTCCAGGCTGGAAAAGCGGAGTTGGGCTGTGGAGAGGGGCTGGAATCACCCAGATTTTCCCTCCCTTTTGACCCCTCCATCCCCTTCCCAGCTGCTCCAGCTCCCACTCCAGGGGTGCCTGGGAAACGTCTCCTGATTTTTCTGCCTCCCCACCCTTGCTCTCTCCTGCCTCTCCAGCTTTTTCAAAGGGTTCCCAACTCTCCTCAAAGTGGGGAAAAAAGCTGGGGAATTGATTCCTGTGGGTGTTGCAGCCTCCAGGGCCAAGGCTGGCCTGGGCTCTCCCAGTAAGGACCAGTCTGGGGCTCCCAGTGGTGCTGGGGTGGCTCTGGCTCAGTGGGGGAACCCCTGGGTGCCCTGCCAGGAATAACAGGCTGGAGCTGCCATTCCTTGTGCTCTGGTGGGTCAGGGGAGGGTGGGCTGTGTCCCCAGGGTGGGACGTGGGCCCCGTGTCCCCGTCCTGTCCCTCCTGCCGGGGTGACTCAGAGTGAAAGCAGAAGCTGCTCAGCATTTTGGGGGCTGGGGGGGGAAGCCAAGCAGAACCAGAGGGTTTATTTTAAACCTGACCTAATTTCCCCTCCCTCTCCTCACCAAACCGAGCCTTGGCCACCCTTCCCCATCCCCATCCTCATCCTCATCCTCTGCAGCTCTTCTCAGGAGTTTTTGACTCTGCCACTCCTGTTTTCTGCAGCCAGGCTGGGTGGTGGCACCGGGGCCAGCAGGGCTCAGTGGGTGCTGTGTTGTGGGTGGCTTCCTGTGGCACCCACGAGTGCCAGCCCTTCTTGAGAAAGGCTTCTCTCCCTTCCCTTCATGTTTGGGGTTGTGCACACCCCGTGGGTTTCCCCCTTAATTCAGCCTTGTTTTGGGGTTCTACATCCCCCGTGGGTTTCCCCCTCACTTCAGCCTTGGTTTGGGGTTCTACATCCCCCGTGAGTTTCCCCCTTAATTCAACCTTGTTTTGGGGTTCTACATCCCCCATGGGTTTCCCCCTTAATTCAACCTTGTTTTGGGGTTTTACATTCCCCGTGGGTTTCCCCCTTAATTCAGCCTTGTTCCATCCTCTGGGGTCTTTTCCAGGGTTTTATTTCTCACCCCAGCTCCCCCCATGCCCTCCTCCAGTGCTGTTGGCACAGCCCCCTTGACAGAGCTCCAGCGGGTCGCTGTCCCCTGCTCTGGGCTCCCGTCCCCCTGGGCCAGGCCACCGTGGCCAATGAATTCCCTGCCCTGGCTGCTCAGTAGCTGCTCCTGAGCTGTGTCACCCCCGCCTGCCTTGATTTCATTTCCCCTCCAGCTAACGCGTGGCACCGGCTGCTGGTGGCTGTCACCACCGAGGTCCCTTCATCTCTGAGCTCCCATTTAAACAGCAGAAAACCCTCCAGATTTCTCTGCTTTCCCCTCCCTGCCTGTTTCCCTCTCCAGATTTCTCTGCTTTCCCCTCCCTGCCTGTTTCCCTCTCCAGATTTCTCTGCTTTCCCCTCCCTGCCTGTTTCCCTCTCCAGATTTCTCTGCTTTCCCTTTTCCTCCCGGGGATGCTGCCGCGCTCCTCCCGCACCCCAGCCCCGTGGAAAGCCCAGCCGGCCGTGCCCGGGGCTGCTCCCCGAGCCCGGGCATCCCCCGCCCCGCTCGGGCCGCCGTCCCCTTTGTCCCGGGGAACAAGGGCAGCTCTGTGCCGCCCGGTGCCCCTCGGTCCCCCCCGTGCCCGCGCTCGCGTGCGGGTCCCGCACAGAGCTGGCCTTGTTCGCCCCGCGCCCGGCCGGGCTTTGCCGCGACCTGCCCCCGGCTCCTGGCACCCGCCGGCCTTTTCTTGCTGCCCTTCCCTGGCTTTCTCTTTCCTTTTCGCTCGCTCTGGGCTCTGCTGTGGCTGCGGTGTTTGGGAAGTGCCTCCGGGGTGAGTGCATGGCGCGGGGTCCTGGCTGCTCCCTTCCTGCCAGACCCTGATTTCCCCCCTCTCCTTGTCAATCCCCGCTCTGGCCACCCTTCCCCATCCTCAGTTTCCCTTCTCTGGAGCTTCCTGGGGGTGTTTTTGGCTTCCTCAGCCCTGTTTTCTGTAAGGAGGCAGCTGTGGGGAGGGGGTCTCAGCCAGGCTGGGTGGTGGCACCAGCTCCTCCTTGCTGTGTGACAGCAGGGCAGAGCCATCCTGGGGTGTCCCTGCTGGTTTAGTCACAACCCAGTGCGGGACAACTCTCCGTGCCTCAGTTTCCCCGCTGCGCTAGGCCGCCGGTGACGTGCCGTGTCCCCCTGCCAGGGTGAGCCCCGTGGCCGCCAGCCCCGCGTGTCACCATGGCGTCCCGCATCGGGCTGCGGATGGAGCTGATGAAGCAGCAGGCGCAGCAGGAAGCCGAGCGCGAGCGGGTGCAGCAGCAGATGATGATGAGCTACATGCAGCAGCAGCGCATGCCCGCGGCCTCCAGCCCCGCCATCAACACCCCCGTCCACTTCCAGTCCCCACCTCCCGTGCCCGGAGAGGTCCTCAAGGTACCGTGGTGTCCCCTCACCCGGGGCTGGGACGTCCCACGGGGTCCCTGATGGGTTTTGTCCCCGCAGGTCCAGTCCTACCTGGAGAACCCCACCACCTACCACCTGCAGAAGTCTCGGGACAAGAAGGTGCAGGCTTACCTGTCGGAAACCTACGGGAACAAGTTCGCTGCCCACGTCAGCCCCGCCAGCCACTCTCCCAAGCCGCCCCCGGCCGCGTCCCCCGGCGTCCGGCCCGGCCACGTCCTGTCCTCCTCGGCGGGCAACAGCGCTCCCAACAGCCCCATGGCCATGCTCAACATCGGCTCCAACCCCGAGCGCGAGGTGAGGACGTGTCCCCGGGGACGCGCAGGGTGCTGGGGAGGGCACAGGAGCCCACGGGGATTTGTCCTTTTGCCTTTCAGTTTGATGAGGTCATCGATGACATCATGCGCCTGGATGATGTTTTGGGCTACATGAACCCTGAAGTCCACATGCCCAACACGGTGAGTGGGGGGTGACAGGACCTGGGGGTGCCACAGCACTGTCCTTGCAGGTACAGAGGTGGCACAGAGGGGACCTTCTGCCACGTCCCCACAGCGGTGCCTTGGTGGCATCCCTAGCCAGCCTTGTCCCTGGAGACTGCAACACCCACAAGAATCAATTCTCCAGCTTTTTTTCCCCTTGAGGACAGTTGGGAACCCTTTGAAAAAGCTGGAGAGGTGGGAGAGAGGCATGGGGAAGATGGGAGAGCCAGGAGAGGTTTCCCTGCCAGGACCTTCCCCAGAGCAGCACTGTGTCCAGGAGAGGTCTCCCTGCCAGGACCTTCCCAGAGCAGCGCCGTGTCCAGGAGAGGTCTCCCTGCCAGGACCTTCCCCAGAGCAGCACTGTGTCCAGGAGAGGTTTCCCTGCCAGGACCTTCCCCAGAGCAGCGCCGTGCCCGGGGCAGATCCTGTGGCAGCTCGTGCCTCCCAGTGGGATCCATCCTGCCCAGCCCTTCTCAGATGTGATTCACCTGCCCTGTTTTAGATGTTGGTCACGGGAGGGGATCAGCTGTGCCCTTTGAAGTCCTGTGTTCTTTTCTGCTCTGCTGAAAGCTTCTTTAAGCTGGGAGGACAGTCCCAGCTGGCTGTGATCCCCGTGCCCAGCCCTAACCCAGCTGTCCCTCTGCTTTCCAGCTGCCCATGTCCAGCAGTCACATGAATGTCTACAGCGGGGACCCGCAGGTGACAGCGTCACTCGTTGGTGTCACCAGCAGCTCCTGCCCCGCCGACCTCACCCAGAAGAGAGAGCTCACAGGTACGTCCTGGCCCCAGAGCAAGGGACAGAAATGGGGCAACCCTGTCCCCACAGGGGTACAGGCGCTCCCGTGCCAGCCCAGGTGCAGCTTTGTCCCCTCTGGGTGACACTGTGGGTCTCTTGCAGATGCTGAGAGCCGAGCCCTGGCCAAAGAGCGCCAGAAGAAAGACAATCACAACCTGAGTGAGTTCAGCCCTGCCTCTCCCCATCACTCCTCATCCTCACTCCCACTCCCTCTGAGCTGGGTCCTTTTCCCATCCCAGGAAAGACCCCCTGAGCCCCTCCTTGCTGGCTGTGCACAGTGGGGTACAGGGGACACCCCACTGTCCTCCCGGGGGAGGTCAGACCTGCTGGGCCAGAGATGGAGCAGGGTTGGCTCCTGATCTTCCTCATCCTGGGCTTCCCAACTCCGTCGGGGCACGACAGAGGGATGTGGGACACGAGGGACAGGAAGGACACGTGGGAGGGACACGGAGCCTTCCCTGCTCCTGCTGCCTCCTCACTTCCTTGGCTCTCCTGTCACCCGCAGTCGAGAGGCGGCGAAGGTTCAACATCAACGACCGCATCAAGGAGCTGGGAATGCTGATCCCCAAAGCCAACGACCTGTACGTACCCACGGCCCCCAGACTGGGCTCACCGGGGCCTTCCGGGTGGAGGAGGGCTGAGGGGCCACACTGCTGGCACCAGCTCCAGCCCCTTCTCCGTCCTGGTGACAGGGACGTGCGCTGGAACAAAGGGACGATCCTGAAGGCGTCCGTGGACTACATCAAGAGGATGCAGAAGGACCTGCAGAGGTCTCGGGACCTGGAGAACCACTCGAGGCGCCTGGAGATGGCCAACAAGCAGCTGCTGCTCCGCATCCAGGTGAGCTTCCCTGGGCTCTGCCCCGCCCCAGCCCCACCAGCCCCTCACTCCTGCCCCGCCAAGGGCATGGCCAGGGCGTCTCCTGCTGGTTTTTGGCTGGGAAGTCACCAGGAGCAAGGTCTCGAGATGAATCTGATGTCTGAGGCTCACTGCAGCATGCTGAGCTTCGCACGGATCCTCCAGGGGCTCCTTCCCCGGGGGCTTCTCACCTCTGCCAACATCCCTGTGCCGTGTCCCCGGGTGTGACACCCCCACAAAGCCCCTGTGTGTCCCCTTGGCAGGAGCTGGAGATGCAGGCACGCGTCCACGGGCTGCCCACCTCCTCTCCCTCGGGCGTCAACGTGGCCGAGCTGGCTCAGCAGGTGGTCAAGCAAGAAGCCAGCGGGGACGAGGGGACCCTGGAGCCGCTGCTGCCACCCCCAGACCCCGAGTCGCAGGCGCAGCCGGCGCTGCCCGCGCCGCCCCAGTCTCCCTTCCACCAGCTGGACTTTACCCACAGCCTGAGCTTCGACGACAGCTCCTTCCCGGACAGCCTGGAGCCCGGGCACGGCGCTTCCTTCCCTTCCCTCTCCAAGAAGGAGCTGGACTTGATGCTGATGCAGGACACGATGCTGCCCCTGGCCGCTGACCCCTTGTTCTCAGCCATGTCCCCCGAGGCCTCCAAGGCCAGCAGTCGCCGCAGCAGCTTCAGCATGGAGGACGCGGACATGCTGTGATGGGCAGCTGCCAGGGCGGGGATTGCAGCACCAGCTTTGGGTGGGCAAGTCCCAGGACGCTGCTGGCAGGAGGAGCCCATCCCACCATGCACTTGAACCTTCCCAGGAGTACCTTTGTCTATGCAACGGGGCTCGGGTCGGGTGCCGCCGTGTCCTTCTCAGCTTCTTTCTGCCAGGAGGAGGATGGACCTGCCTGGCTTTGCCCTGGCCCCGGCCTGGCTGCAGATGCAGGGACCTGGGAGTGCCATCTGGGCTGCTTTGCCTTTCAGCTGAAGCCTCCTGGCCTCACCCCCTTGCCCAGGGTGGTGCCCGGGAGCCTCGAGCCCCCGGGACGATGGCGCGAGCTTTGTGTCCTGTTCGGTGTCTCCTCGCCTTGCTCTGGGATCCTTCATCCCCACCGAGTCCTCCCCAGCCCCTGGATGCTTCCCAGTCCATCCAGTTCCTCCTTCCCGGGAGCACCTGCTGCCCCTGGGGTCACAGCAGGGTGACAAGGTGTTAATTAGAGTGTGTTCATTAATACGGCACCACCGGGGGTGCTGTCTGCAGGTGGGTGTGGAAGGTTCCAGAACACCTGGAATGGGGGGTTTGATGCTCCACCCACCCCCTGTTGTCACCCCCAAAACCTCGAGGCAAGGCTGCCAGGTGACCCTGAGTGTCCTGGAGGTGTCCCCGCAGTGGCTGTGCCCCGTGGCACCCCCAGCTCTTCCCTGGGAGGATAAAAGGGTTTCCCACTCTTTTTTTTGGGGGATGCTTCCCAAAAGTGCAGCCCCACGTGGGCCCGAAGCTCCAGGCTGTGACAGGGAATGGTTTGTGCCAAACCTGAGCTGCTGCTCCCAGCTGGGGATCCGGGGGTTGGTTCTGTTCCCAGTGTCACCAGTTTGTGCCACAGCTCTGTACTGGGAGCTGCTTTGGGTCCCGACTTCCCAATCCAGCTGAGAAGAGCAGGGCAAGGCTGGAAAATCCTCCAGGGTTTGTGGAGGGAGAGGAGGGAAATGGAGAGGAGAGGAGACCCCTTGGGGACCGTCCCCCCTGGGCTGTGGGGTCACTCTGTGCCCCTGTCCTGGAGCTGGGTGTCCTGGGGGGACACAGCTGGCAGGATTTGGGGACAGAGGGGCCTGTGGTGGCAGGATTGGGGGACAGCCCCACAGAGGTGGCAGGATTTGGGGGATAGCCCCACAGACAGGCCCGTGGTAGCAGGATTTGGGCACAGAGGGGCCCATGGTAGCAGGATTTGGGAACAGGGGTGGCCTGTGGTGACAGGATTTGGGAACAGCCCCACAGGTGGCCCATGGTGACAGGATTTGGGGACAGAGGGGCCCGTGGTGGCAGGATTGGGGGACAGCCCCACAGAGGTGGCAGGATTTGGGGGACAGCTGCACAGGTGGCCCGTGGTGACAGGATCTGGGGGACAGAGGGGCCCGTGGTGGCAGGATTTGGGGACAGAGGGGCCCGTGGTGACAGGATTTGGGGACAGAAGTGGCCCACGGCAGGATTTGGGGACAGTCCCATAGAGGGGCCCGTGGTGACAGGATTTGGGGACAGAGGGGCCCGTGGTGACAGGATTTGGGGACAGCCCCACAGGTGGCCCGTGGGACGTGAGGGTGCGGGGAAGTGCAGAGGGAGGAGGACAGGAGCAGGAGGGGACCTGAGAGGACAACAGGATTTGGGGACAGAGGGGCCCGTGGTGACAGGATTTGGGGACAGCCCCACAGGTGGCCCGTGGGACGTGAGGGTGCGGGGAAGTGCAGAGGGAGGAGGACAGGAGCAGGAGGAGACCTGAGAGGACACTGGGTGACCTGGGGGGACACTGGGTGACCTGGGGGGACACTGGGTGACCTGGGAGGGGCTCCAGGCGCTCTCCTGAGGATGAGGAGGACCCAGGAGACCTGGGAGCCCCTCTGGGGTGTTCACAGGAGGCCTTGGCACCCTTCGTGTGCTGCCATCAGTGCCTGGACAGGGAGCTGTCCCCAGCAGGGTCACCCTGGCCGTGCTGGGGACCCGTGGGTGGGAGAGCCACGAGCTGTGCCCTCCACAGGGGCTGGGTGGCTGCTCCAGCCACGAAATCCCACGAGAAATGTGGATTTTTGTGGCTTTAGGGTGCCCGTGGGCACTGCTCAGCACGAGGTGTCTCCCCTGGCTGTGAGCAAACAGTTGTGGATTATAATTACTATTTTTTTTTTAAATCTTTTTGGGAGTTTTGTTTGTTTTTTTCTTTTTTTTTTTTTTTAATGCACTGTGCCCTGATTAAAAGATTTTACTACTGTTTTATAAATAAATGTATAAAAGAATGAACTGGAATGGAAGAAGAATCATTAAAAATATATTTATTTACAACATCCTGGAGCGTGGCAGCCTCTTCTTTGTCCTGGAGGCTGGATCAGCATCACCTCTGGGTGCTGGGACCCCTGGGCCAGGCAGGTTTTGGGGACTCTCCTGCCCAGTGCAAGGGAAAAAATCTGTTTTTAGAGTCCTGCTGAGCCTGTGCCCGTCAGAACTTATCCCAAGCCACGTCTGCAGCCCCTGAGCCACGTGCCAGGCTCCCACTCCCCTCGGTGCTGGTGTTAAACACACACAGGAGCGGGGAAAAAAGCAAGAAAATCCACCTTAAATTGGACTTCCCAGGCTGGAAAATCACAGGGGTTTACCTTGGAAACTTTATTAAAAGGAGAAGGAGGGGAAAAAAGAGCGAGGGGGGCAGAAGGAGCGAGTGGTTCCAGACACTTTAGAGAAAAATAAAATTAAGGAGGGGGAAAAAAAAGAGAAGAGGCTGAGGGGGGCAGAAGGAGCGAGTGGCTCCAGACACTTTAGAGAGAAAAAAAAATTAAAAAAAAAAATCCCTGATTTGATTTATCAGGGGAGTGTGAACACTAAATAGAGAACAACGCCTGAAGTGTGAATTATTTCCTATATTAACACAGAGAAAAACTGATAGCCTTTTCATGTCAGGAGAATAGCAGCGGGGAGGGAGGGGAGCCAATGACATTGTTCCAGCCCGGGCTTTGCTCACTCTTTATCAGCCCGAGATCAAAATTTATTCCCAGGATGAGGCCTGCGGCCCGGCTGAGGCCCTAGAGATTTTTAAGGGCCTAATTAAGAAAACAGGATGAAAATGGCGAAATAAGAGGGCAATTTACTTCTCGCAGAATAGGGAGATCAAATCAACTTATGAGCAATTAATGTGCACGAGGAGAGAATAAAGGGATGCCGGGATGAGGGAGAGGGGCCTCATTTTAATGACACGCTCGGTGTTGGCAGAGAGGATTACTCTGAAGGTCAGGCGGAGATGGAAACGACCTTGCAGATTCTTAACCCTCCTTCCAATTAACAGAACCAACTCAGAAATGCAAAAGAGCCCGGCTCGGCGTGCTGCAGGGAGGGGAGGGGGCGAAAATAAAGTGATAAAGGAGGGAGGGGGTGGAAGGGGCTTCCCTGGGATCCCCGCGGGCTGGGGATGGGAGAGGGCCCGGAATTACAGCCTGGGAGGGGGAAAATGCCAAAAAATGGGAGAGGGATGGGATGGGATGGGGTGGGATTGATGGGATGGGATGGGATGGGATGGAGTGGGATTGATGGGATGGGATCCACGGGATGGGATGGGGTGGGATCCACGGGATGGGATCCATGGGATGGATTGATTGGGATTGATTGGATGGGATTAATGGGATGGGATGGGATGGGATGGGATGGGATGGGATGGG